ACATTTACCCTATGCTGTTCTGGATAACACCATCCTTTCCCCAGATAATTCCATGTCCCTAAATCTTACCCGCCTAAGTGAGATTGTAAAGTGAGATTCTGCATTGACTCATCCTCCTCTTGAATCCCTTGGAGAGGACCTGGGGACTCCACCTATTGAGTAAATAATTATTGATTAGTTGCTGGTCATCAGGAAGGTGGCAAAGATTTTATCTGACTCCCAAGTTATAGACCATCTTCCCACATACCTGCCAAGAGCAAGACTGTGCCTCAGATTCAGAGGAGTTTTAACTGTTCCAGTTTGCACTTGTTGGCTTTCTTACTGGTGGATCTCAACCTCTTGCTGAGCCCCAAGAATTTAAGGGTCCTGAGTACCATGAGTAATTTCATGAGTTGCTGATGGCTAATTAGCAGTGATTATAGTTAAGAGGCTTTACTTTCTTAAAAACCTTCAGAAAGGGCTGGTGGTAACTTTTAAAATCTTGATTATTTTCCCCTGTGCATGGAATTTTCTGGTTCCCATGACTGTCTTCTTAAGTCCTTGTAACTAGTCTTCCCATTCTCCCTTCCTAATGAGAAGGAAATGTGAAGTCCTGGGAGGAATTTGGAAACCATGATTTTGGAAAACTCTGGCTTTATTGGAGAGGACCCCCAGGCACACCTAGAAGCCTTGGTTCATTTATTTTTCTTCCTCAGAAAGGAGGCACAAGAAGAGAGGAGGCTGGACCGTGGTCTTGCTTCCCAAGTTCCATCATATTTCAAGTAAACCTGTGGCTGTTGTTCATAAACTTTGAAACTGTTGGATCATTTGACAATGTTTACAGATTCTGTTTAGTGAGGGCTTCTGAATAAAGTAGTATTTGTGGGTGAGTGGGTGTTATTTCCCTGTTGTTACTGTGATAACATTTTAAGTGTTGCTTCATCTCTTATTTTATTATTATTTTTTAAATTTAAGTCATGTTTATTCTATTACAGTTGTCTCAATTTTTCCCCCTTTGCCCTCCTCCACCCATCCCGCCCCACCCCCCAACCCCACTCCCACAGCCGATTCCCACTCTGCTGTCCATGTCCATGGGTCATTCATGCATGTTCTTTGTTTAGTCCCTTCCCCTTTTTTCCACCATTGTCCTCCTCCCCCATCCCTCTGGTCACTTTCAGTCTGTTCCATGTTTCCATGCCTGTGGTTTATTTTGTTCTTTAGTTTATTTTGTTGAATAGATTCCACTTATAGGTGAGATCATATGGTATTTGTCTTTCTCTGACTGGCGTATGTCACTTAGCTTAATATTCTCCAGTCCCATCCACGTTGTCACAAAAGGTTGGAGTTCCTTCTTTCTTCCTTTTATTAAAAATGCAGATTGATTTTATTTATTTATTTTTTAAAATGTCAAAATCCATTATAAAATATTAAAAAATTTAAATCTATTATAAAGTCTTTGCAATTAAACCAACATGACACCAGCATAGAAATAGTCAAGTAGATCAATGAAATAAAATGAGCATTGTAGAAACAAACATATGTATCTAACAATGTAATATATGATTAAATTGATATTTCAAATCAATGGGGAAAATAAGGCTTATTCAACAAATAAGGTGCATGGACCACTATTACTTGAAATAAAACAAATATAGAGCCCTATTTCACACATTATACAAAAAATATTCAGGGGAGTTAAAAATCAATATGTAAAATTTAAGGAGTTTCAGGAGAAAATATACACTAATATTTTTCTTACCCTGAAATAACATATTCAAGCCCAGAAGCTATGAAGTAAAATATTGACAATATGACTATATTAAACACTTAAGCGTATACAGTAATATACATATAAAAAAAGTTAAAGGACAAGTAATAGAATAGGAAAGTATTTCCAACACATCTAAAAAAGGGTTAACAGTTGTTTCTTTTAGGGAAAAATATTCTACAAACATTTAATTAAAAAAATGGATAAATACCAAAAAGTCATGTAAAGCTTTTTTAAAAATAATAGAAATAGTCAAGAACTATACAAAAACAGGTTTAGTTTCAACAAATAATAAAGGAACAATTAAAATAACACATCATTGTCACAATCAGATTAATAAGTATTAAAAATATTGGTAATATCAAGTATTGGTGAAGTACTGTGAAAGGAACTGGGTATTCATAGACTCTTTCTCTTCATCTTCTCTTCATCTTTAGCATATTTTGCAATGCTGGTTTGGTGGAGGTGTATTCTGTTAGCCTTCTTTTGTCTGGGAAATTCCTTATTTCACCTTCCATTTTAATTGAGAGCCTTGCTGGGTAGAGCAGTCTTGGTTGCAGGCCTTTGCTTTTCATGACTTGGACTATTTCTTGCCATTCCCTTCTGGTTTGTGGTGTCTCTGTTGAGAAGTCAGCTGCTAGCCGCACAGGGTCTCTCTTGTATGTTACTACCTGTTTCTCCCTTGCTGCCTTTAGGATTCTGTTTGTCTTTGATATTTGCCATTTTCATGATGATGTGTCTTGGAGTGGGCCTCATTGGGTTCCTCTTGCATGGGACCCTCTGTGAGTCCTGGACTTGTGTGACTTTTTCTCTCCTCCAATTAGGGAAGTTTTCTGTCATTACTTTTTCAAACAGGTTCTCTATGCCTTGCTCCTCTTCTCCTTCTGGTATCCCTATTATATGGATATTATTATGTTTCAGGATGTTCTGTATTTCCCTAAACGCCGCTTCATTCTTTTTGAGGTCTTTTTTTTTTTTTCATTTTCGTGCTCTTTCTGGGAGCCTTTTTCTACCTTATCCTTCAGTTTGCTGATTTGATCCTTGGCTTCACCTAACCTGCTTTGGATTCGTTCTCCTGTGTTCTTCAATTCAGAAATTGTATTCTTCATTTCCTCTTGTCTCTTATTGATAGTTTTTAATGTCCTTTTTCATGCTGATATAGTTTGCAGTAAGATCCTTGTAGTTTCCCTGTAGTTTTTGGTAATTCTCTCTGAGCTCACTGAGCTCATTGAACTTCCGTAGGACTGTTGTTTTGACCTCAATATCTGATAGTTTATTTGCCTCTATTGCATTTAGTTCTCTTTCTGGGGATTCCTCCTTTCCTTTCAATTTCTTTGTTTTTCCATTATTTGTGAGACTCTTCTTTTTTGCTTCTGCTTCTTAAATTGATCAGTCTTGATTTCCTGACTTAGTGGTGTTGCTTTACCTCTTCTTGCATGAGCATCATCAGAACTACTTTTTGCTGAGTGTCAGCCTGTTCCAGGCACTGGGCTCATGTCCACTCTATTAACTGTCACAACTCTTGCAGTAGTTCTTTAGGCACTGTTTTAAAAAGTCTTATTGAAATATAATTCACATAACATACTTCACCAATTTAAAATTAAACAGTTCAGTGGCTTTTAGTATATTCACGGGGCTGTGCAACCATCACCACAGTCTAATATTAGAACATTTTTGTCACCCCAGGAGGAAACCTTGTACCCTTCCATGAGCCCCACCTCACCTCACCCCCAGACTGTGGCAACCACTGATGTACTTCTGTCTCTGTAGATTTGCTTATGCAGGACAGTTCTTATACATGGAATCATACAATATGACCTTTGTGGCTGGCTTCTTTCACTGAGGATAATATTTTCAAGGTTCATCTGTGTTGTAGCATGTGTCTGTATGTCATTTCTTTGTATTGCTAGTATTTTTACCCACTTCTGAGATTTACACTGGTCCCCCAACTGTGCCCTTGCTATCCACCTCTCACTGAAAGGAAACGGCTACGTTGAGGAGCCAAACACAAGAAGAGCAGCTGTACACTGGGGAAACCAAGACAGAGAGGCAAAATGACTTTCCTGTGCTTAAGTAGCCTGCAATAGAAGGGGCTAAATTTCCAATGCAGGTTTGTCCAGTGCCAGCTTGGCTATGAGCTTGGAGTCTGAAGTGTCAAACAATGGTCATTGGCACCAATTCAACGCCAACCATAATCCCAAATTTGGGGTGCAATGAAGAAGGAAACTTTATTCAGTGCAAAACATCATGGCTCTGAGGCAGCCCTGGGGCTAGACCCTCTCTGGCTAGACAGCTGTGCTCTGCTCCTCCATGGTCTGCTTTTCTCCTTGCTAGTCTGCTCTGCTGAATACCAGTGTGCCTTGCTTTGATATGTTCTGTGCCAGTCTGCTCTGGCCTTTGCTGGTCTGCTCCACTCTGTTCCAGGGAGACATCTGTGGTATTTCAGCTCAGGCAGGGAAACACAGAATTTGGTCTTTGGTAGAAAGACAAAATGCACCTCCAGAGCCAGGGGATAGCTGGCTTATATAGACAGAAGTCTCCACCCTTGGTTTCTGATTGGTCTAGCCTCATGCAAATGAGGACTCCACATCCTCACAGTGTGATTGGCACTGCTCTCTTGGTTGGAGCTGCACAGGTCCAACTGGATGGGGAAAGCCACAGTAGTATTGGTTGAAATAGGACTCCAGCAGCTCCTCTCTAAGGGCTGGCTCAGAGGGCAGGAATACAGGGCAGGCAGGCAGTTCAAGGCAGGGGCAGGCAGTGCAGTGCAGGCTTCTTCCTCCCTTGAGTGCAGTTTGTGTGAGAGGCCCCTGTGTAGAAACGGCACTCGGCTTTGCGTTTTTGTTTTTGTTTTAATTTAAACCCAGTTAGCCGCCAGGAGCCTTTCTTAGTAGGCATCTTCTTTTTCAGGGTTCACAGAGATAATCATTGATAGGTATTTACTGAATATCTGTACATCAGTCACTGTGCTGAGTGTTCTGTAAACTTGCTACCTCATGTTTATTATAATCAGACTTCAATTGGAAAATCTGGTGGGTAACACTGTGGCATTTTTGTTTACAAGTCTCCCATTTGCTCACTTCTGGTTTCATTGGCCTACTTATGCTGTAGAATCATAGCCTATGCAATTTTCCTAAGCACCAGGCTAAAATAGCATTGTTGTTCCTTCTATAGGAGTGTGAATACCGCTCCACCTATAGAAAATTGGCACCATCTTCCAGGAACCCTTGCTGTTTCCCTGGACCACAGCATCATGGTTTCCCATTTCATGGGGTCTCTCAGGTAAGTGGAGAAATTCAATATTTGAGTTTTATTCGATAGTTTCTTAAAGCAACTAGCCTTGAGGGTCTGCATCTCACTGGTATTTTTGATATGCTGTGTACATATTTGTGATAAGTGTGCTATTTGGAAGGGCGACCAAGGCCTAGGAAGCTGTGTGCTGGTGTGAGAGGCGCTTGAACTGAGATCGAAGTAGCTTGGGTTCTAAGCTGTGTCCTGCTATTTTTTAATTAAAAAAATTTTAAGCCTCTGATTTTTAAAAAATAAAGGTGTTACTGGATCAGTGGATATATATCATGGAGCCATAATAGAATTACCTGAAGAGCTTGAAAAATATTGTCCTCTGTCTGCATCTCCACGGGTTTTGACTTAATTGATCTGGATTATTTAAAAGGTGACTTCTCTAGTCCTTTCTGCTCAAAACATCTATGACTTCCCCCTGCATTTTTTATTTGATCCTGATATATGCCATGTGAGGTAAGCAGAACAAGCACTAGTATCTCTCGTTTGTAAAACAGAAACCAGGGCCTGTGACCCTTCGCCCCTACGTGCCACAGTCCCTTGGAGCAGTCACAAGGAGGGCCCCGTGCCTGGGAACTGCTGTCCCCGTCAGCGAGGCCATTTTCAAACTTTAAGCTAAAAGACCCTTAAAAAAACATCTACAATCAAAATCCTATGTAAAATCTCAACATATAAAATATCCAATGGCAGTATTTTTTAAGATAAATTTATTTTACACATTCAACTTTGTAATATTTACACATTATGAGAGCAGTGAGTCTGTTTGGATAAACACCAAAATTTGAAATCATTATTTATGTCTGATAGCTTGTACATCGGTGTCAGCATCTGGTTGATTTTACACTTGTTTTAGCTGCACTGTGTTAAGAAAATCTTGATCTGTACAGGTAAGTAATTGTAATGAGTAACAGTTTTTTTGATGAAACTCATCTTGCAATCTCAGGATATTCTTTAAATTAATTGATTTGGAATCTAAAAAGAAGGGAAGAGCCTTCCGTTTTAAAATTGAATCACTAAGGATATTGTGTAACCCCCCTCCCCATAACTATATGTTAGCCCAAATGCCCAGAACTTATAATAAAAAGTAAAATAGTCTCTAATGTGTCATTACGATGGTGCCATATATGATTGCCCAACCAGGGCTCAAGTATTTGTCAGGCAGATGCTCTTAGGCATCTTCGGGGGGGGGGGCCCTGGTGGGCTCACCTCCAAGCTGTGCATCATTTCAGAGAAATTGCCCACAGACTAGAAGTAAGGGTGGGAGTAGTTGAAGGCTAGATGTCTCCTTGCTGCCCTTACAGCAGAACTCTGGAAGTCTTGAACAGCCTCCACCATTAAGTTCTCGCTAAAGGATAGTTTGGGAAGGGCTGCTCAGCAGGACAGTCTTCCTGGAATTCTGCTGTGAGGACTAGGGAAGAATATGTGACTTATAAGGACTGGGGTTCTTTGGGAGACCTCAGCTGAGATTTCCATCATGAGACTCTCTTTCCTTAGCCAGGGACTCAAACTATTTTACATTCTGTTTCTAGAGCCATGTAAGCTGAAAAAACACAAACAAAACAAAACAAAACAAAACAAAACCACGAACAAACAAAAACAAACCTAGAGTGTTTTTTATTTAAATGCTTTTCAAAATGTCCTGGGGAACAGGTCTCCGGTTACCTTAAGAGTCAGAGGTCTTTGACAAAATTGGTAGATGAGAAACACACCTATTAAGGGCTTTTTAATATTTATCAAGGCAACCAAAATGCATCCAGATCCATTGGAGAAGCTGAAGGATTTCTCTACCTATAGAGAAAACAGGTCAAAATTAGAAGTCAGCTGCCAAGAAAATCCCTGAGAGGAAAAAACATTTAAGGGGATTCACAATTCTGATATGCAGAGATTTAGTTTAAAAATCCCTGCTCAGTTTTTGCCAAGCCACAGAAAAACAGAAAGCCAGCTTCTTCCTCATTGAAAGAGACAGAGCAGCCCCAAGTAGTATCTCTGCCCTGCTCAGAGTCTAATAAAAAAGAATCATAGTAAACCCAGTAGCAGAAGAGACATAAGATTTTAACTCTTGATGGAACTGGTTAGAGGCTGTCACAGAACCCTGGGTGAGCTCTGTATACCGTGCAAAATGTACCGTAAGTAAAGTCCTTTTGAACCAAAAGGTCAGTCAAGGCTAGAATAAGGAATGTTTGTCGCCTGGTCACCTGTTCCAAGTTAGAGAGGAAGAGGTACTAAGTAATCAGAGTGTTGTTTATATTTCTAAAGACTTGCTCCAAATTTTGCACCTTTTTTTTTTTTTGTATGCACAGTTACATCTTTATGTGTTTGTTCAATGACTGAGTGGAAGGAAACACAATTTCCTCCTGGAAGTCCCGTAACGAGTGGTGTCGGCTGCCGACCGGGCAGCCCACAGACTCCCTTCAGGGCTGGTCTTCTTGCTCGGGTCTCTTCCTTTACCTTGTGCAGTGCTTCAGTGTAGTTACTGTATTTTATGTTTGAAGTAAAAGCAGAGAAGAAAACAAAACTATTGAGAATACCAAGCAGTTGGTTAAGTTGGCAAGAAATAAGTTGATTCAGTGATTCTTATTTTGGATGGTAGTTTTTGAAGAAATGCAGATGTAATTAGAGAGATTACAAGGATAGATGGTGATTTTTATAGATTTTTATAGAGTGATCTGGATCATTTTAAGCATTTTACAGATTGATGGCCCTAGGTCAAGTGTCTGGTTTTAGTCTTCTGAAACTTAAAGGCTTTTCTTTTCCTTGATATACATTTCAGTGAGTAATATTACTGTAATGCCTGTCAGCTACTTCGCTTAGAAATACAACCAAAAGGGATTGAGGAAATGAGAAAGAGAAAGGGGGCTGGTTGTTCTCTGGGCAACTGAAAAAGATCCTGAATACAGAAAAGAAGAGAGAAGTGGGTGAAGAAAATGTGTTTGTGTGAGAAAGAGAATGCCAAAAGAAGTGATATTTGAGGTATGACTGAACAGTGAAAACTGAGATTCCCACAGGGGTAAAGAAACATATGATAATTGGGAAGGACTGGGATTGGGGGGCGGGGTCCATCAGTGTCCCTATGTCAGTCACCAAGAAATGGGATGGAGGAGGAGAGGGAGGGAGGCGGAAGAAGACGAGAAAGATGAGGAGGAGAAGGGCAGAGGGAGGAGGAGGAGGGCAATGTGTATTCAGCCTCACGGTGTTAATAGGCAGGGACAGTTGGTGTTGCCTGCATCTAAATCACTACCCAGTTGATGCTTAACAAATACTTGTCGAATATTGAACGAATAAATTAATAATTATCTTTTATGTACAAGAAGTAAAGTAGAAAATTTTTCTTTCCTCATCAGGATCATTAGTTAATGACCAAATAGGTTAAAGCAGAAAATCATACAAATGATACATACACACCTTTAACAGTTTGCTTTTAACTTAAAACACATGTACATTCACTCACCAATTTTTTGATGTGAAGCCAAGTATTTTTTTTCAGCATGAACCCCTGATTGCCTTTCTTGCACAAACCGCACCCATAGCGTTATCTAAGGTTTCCACTTAGGTTTCTTTAAAGTGGAGTGAGAATTGAAAGACATTTGAAAAGCAATCTGAGTACAGAATGATTCTAGAGTTTTATTATTTTTGCCCCAAATCATTTACAGTTGTCTCATCCACACCTAATTTGCCAGCAGGTTTTTTTTCTTGGCTACTTTCCTTTATTGCATCTTTCCAAAGCCTTCAGCTTTGTTTGTAGAAACAACTAACAACTACTCTTTATTTTTGTGCCCTATTTCATGGGTCTGTGTATTATTTGAATATTTTATGTAATTACAAAGCAACTGGCATAAGCAGGTTTGGGACCGTGGTTGACTCTACATGAACACAAGTCATCTGGTGGAAGCAGAAGAGCACAAATGTACCGGGGAGAACCAGCTGGAATGTTTTGTGGGAAGCCCGGTAGGAGCCATCTGAATGGTAGGCATAGAGGCTAGGAGGAACTAAAATTGCTTTTTGGAGGACTGCCCTGGCAAACCCCTTCCTATAAAATGATGGCAGGCATTCAGACAGCATTGATTTTTTTTTTATGCCTGGCACAGCCCTGCACCTGGACCATGTCCTCATCACTCAGTGCTTGACTTTGGGATTTGCTAGAACATTCTGTACCACAAGTGTTCAATGGAGTCAAGGTGTGATCGCTGGACTGCGAGCTACCCATTCCTTATGTACCCAAGTAGGTTTATAGGCCTCAAGGTAACATTGACTTCCTGGGATCAGAACCAATGACTCCGATTTATAGAAATCATCCTTTTAGGATTGATTGTCTTCCTTTTCCCACTCCTCTTTGCACAACAGAATTCTGGGATGCACTTAGGAAACACTTCGTTGATGAAAAGAGCCAGTCACAGCAGCACTTTGCATTTCTTTAGTGGCTGACATTTCCTTCCTCCATCTCCTTCTTTCTCCCTCTCTTCATTCCATCCTTCCATTCTTTGATTCACTTGCTATTTATTAGCCCTGAGTGTGGACTGAGTTGATTGTTCTGCGAGCTGCAAAGACCTATTAGAAACCGTTTTCTTAAGAGCAGAGGGATTTACCAAAGATGTTGTGTTTTAAAAAGCCGTGTGGTGACAGAACACCTCACTCTTCCAAGGCCCTGGTCCAGAAAACACAGAAGGCTGCAAGAGTGGAGAACCCGGAAATAGGCACTAAAAACCAGTATGCAGTTAGAATAGGTGTCCTGCAGTCCATGCTCTAAAATGGAAACATTTACCCCACAAAAGCCAGGCAGCCCTTTCCCCAGAGCCTGTATGGTCTTGGTCTGGCTGCACTTGGTTGCCTAAACGTTTCCCAGGCCAAGGCCGACCTGAAGGGAGCTAACTAACAGGACGCAGGCTCATCCACAGTACGGGGGGCAATGCCTGAGAGCAGGGAGGTGACAGCAAAGACCCGGCGGGATTCAGAAAGCCCCAGGCTCTGGGCTCTCAACCTGCTCTGCTCCAAGGCCACCCGCCCCCTTATGCTGCACAGACAGGCACATGGGTGACCCTGAGCCATCTAAGAAAGGTTGCTTAAGCTCAGCATATTTTGTATAAGAAAGCAGAGGGAATACAGAGCATGATTTTTTTAAAGTTGAGGTTTAAATGGTTAGCTTCAATTATTTTAAGACTTCTAATGTTCTCTAGTGAGGTTGGATAAACGAGGTTTTATTGCATCCACTTATTTCCTGATTATTTTTGCAAGCAGTGACAGAGAGTAAAACAAAATGTGTGAAGCCGCAGCCTCATAAGACTGGGGAAGAAAATTGATGTGATCAAATGCAAATGCTTGGTTTAAAGGTGTGTTGTTTCCTAACGAGACCCCAGAGCACAGCAGTTAAGCGTCCAGGCCAAGGGTCTGACTGCTGGCATGGGAATTAGGCTTTTCTACTTAGTGAGAGTGTGTGCCTTTCAGTAAGTGACTTAGCCTCTCTGTGCCTTAATTTACTCACCTACAAAATGGGTGTAATAAAGGGGCCTGATAGAATAGTTGTAGATTAAAGGAAATAATACTTTTAAGAATTGACATTGATGGTAACCATCATGTCTTCATGGACTAATGTCATTTGTGACCCACCTCCCTCTCTTCTGAGGGAGGCAGAGGATTGAGCTGAACATGTAAAATGCATGTCTAGCAACATTTTTTATCTCCGGAGTGCAGGAGGTACAGATGCACTTCAATGCTAAGATTTTGGCTCCCTTTCGCTAAGGTTGGTATGATTTTATTAGTGATCAGGTTGCTCCCAGAATATCTCTTGGGTTGTATTAACTAAAGAAGAAAAGAAGCTAAGATTTTTTTTTTCTGTTTCCTTGTTTTGTTACTTGATATGCTCAAGTGGCCTTGAGTTCATTGAGGTACATAGTACCCCACTCGAGTTAAGAATGGTGGGGGTGGGGGTGGGGGTGGGGCGAGACAAGCACAGAAGCCCAGAGCCCCAGTTCCATGATGTAGATCATGTACCAAATTTCAGTGAGCATTATTTCCTACATGAGGAAATGAAATGATGGCGTGTTTAAATTCTAGAGCAGCGCTGGGGAAATGGCATAACTTTTTTCTTTTTTCTGATTGGTGTGAAATGGTGGGTTGTTTCTCCTGCAAGGTGAATCGGAAAGTCTTGGTAGGAATGTGGCTTCCCCCGCTGCTTTGGAGGGGACTGTGATTTGTTTGCCAAAGGCCCTGGTAGCCTTCAATCTGTCAAAACGTTGCAAGCTGGGAGCAGTTTGCCAAAGCAAACTATCAAAGTGAAATAGCACACGAGCTGCACACACACAGACACACACATGCTCTCGTGGTCCCTGAACATTAATTTCGAATTGGGTCAGGAGGAACAAGGATTTGGGCTGGATTGGTGGTGTTTTGAAGAGGTGTGGGCACAGCTACAGACTACCAATTAGGTAGGTATGTGTGAGCAGGGCGGGGTATCCCAAAACAGAGTCTACTGAGCAGGGGTGGGAAACTTTAGCCCTTGGCAGAGTTTTCTCTGGCCCCTGGGGTTATATATTGCTCTAGCCGCTGTTATTGCAGCCAAAGAATAATTTCCCCTCCGGGGGAATTTATTCTATTCCATTCAGAGCAGAGCCCATTTAATAACTAAGATTTTATTCCAGAATGAATTTTATGGGGTACTCCTATGCCTTTTGGCCCCACTAGGGCCCAGCTAGATAAAGAAAAGAAGCATTTGAACATCTAAATACAACTTGTGTTGCATTTTTGCAACAATGGCACCGACAAGCAATTTGTTACCACACCTGTGTCAATCCCATGAGAATGATTTTGGGGGCATCGCATAGAAATTCAAAAGTACAACTGATTTTTATAAATCTTTCATGAAAGAACGTTTAAAAGCTCCCCAAGTTACTTTGGACAGTTTCAAATGTGGTAATTTGCACTATTTTCACTTATCTTGACAATTCAAAAGTTGTCAAGCTGATGTCACATCATTCGTTATTCATTCAATGAACTGAGTTCTTACTGTATAGCAGACACTGTGCTAGATGCTGAGGGATAGAGACAAAACAAAGTCTTTGATCTCGGGGGCCTTATGTTCTAGTGGGTGGAGGGCACACTTTAAATGAATAAAGGCAGTCTATGAGATAGTAAGTGCTGTGGAAAAAAAATATAATCTGGGCTGGGAGAGGGAGTGCTGCTTTTTATACGGTCAGGGAAGTGTCCTAGAGAAGGGAGAGCACCAGGAAGACACCTGAAGGAAACGAGGGAACAGGCTGTAGGAATTTCTGGGAGTAGAGGTGACCAAGTAGCCTGGAAGGCAGTTCCTCTGAGACAGAAGAAAACTTCTCCAATTTATTAGACTCTTCCGTCCTCCAATTTATTCCCTCTCCTGCCCCAAGTGCCCCTGGGATGAGCACTTACGCAGAATTGCTCTTGGTTACGTTACAGATTGTGGCTTAGGTGTCTGCCAAGGACTTTGAGGGCTGAGGTCTAACACATTTATGGAGCCGCCACTTGTTTTTTTAACAAAACCACACCAAGCTTTTTTTTTAATGTGTAAACAATATCAGGATGTGTTAGAAATGATTCAGATTTGTAGGCATGGTTCATAATGCGCTTTCTTGCACATTCATTCGAGGTCAGCAGGGCAGATGACATTATTTCCATTTTACAGATGAGGAAACTGTGGCACAGAGGTGATTTACCCAAGGTCATGTAACCAAGGAGCAGAGACTCCTGAGTGTGGACACACATGTTACTGGATTCAGTAAGGGTACCACTAGGAGAAGCTGTCCTGTCCTAGCGCCGTGGTCACACCCACTCTTTTAGATGCCTTCGCCCCGCACCCTGTTGCTGGGGGGCACCTCCTTCTTCAGTCCTCAGAGACGTGCAGCCCGTCTCTTTGGAACGTGTGCATGTGGAATACTTGCAGTCCTCTGCAGGGGGACCTCAGCTGCAGCTCGAAGGCAAAAGCAGAAAGGATGCGTTGAACACCTGGTTCCCTGTCCCTTTGCCCTGCTCCTTGTGCCAGCACAGTCTCTAAGCAGTCTGTCCTTGTCCACTCTGTGTAGCTGTTAGGGCAGGGCTCATTTACATACAAGTGGGAGTTAGGTGGAATTTAGGATTTTTAGAGATCGCAGGAGCCTTTTCTACCTCCACAAGCTCTAACCCGGGTCCAGACAGGTTTTCTTTCTCATCTCCACCTCCACACAGAGAGTTTTCCTTGGACAAGGCAGCATTTTATTTTATTTTTTTAATTTAATCTCTGCGTTATGTTGGAGGCTTCAACAAGGTTGAGAACTCCTGGTTGCTTAACTTCTGCCCTCAGGGTTAAACCCTAGAAAGGATTCAAGACTGCTAAGTGGGCCAGAGGCCTTTTGCAGGGATGCTTAAAACAATGCTGTTGATGATTTGAAATCAAGGGACTTTGGGCAATTCACTTGACAATACTTGTCTCCTCTGACTAACAGATTGTGCTGCTGTTTTCACCTGTGTCATCGGCAGTGATCCTTACAGAAGATGAGTACATTGAGGCGCGCGGACATTAGCTTACCCAGTATCCCCCAGATGGGAAGGGTGGAGTTGGGATTCTAGCCTAGATGTGTTTAAATCCAAAGCTTCTCGCTCTCCCAGCACACCCTGCTGTCTTAGGGCCAGCTGGCTCCGATTACTACACCTTCCCTTTATTTGATGACAAGCCCTAATCAAGGTTGGTGACAGTGGGGCTTAACACAGCTAATCCCATCCGTGGAGAACATATGTGACACCGAAGGGCCCAGCCCTGGCAGAGGAAGTTCCGAGAAAAGCCTGAGGGTGGGAGAGGAGCTTCCCTGGCCAGGTTCTGAAGCCCCAACCTGACCAGCTCCGCATGGGCCAAGCTCGCACTGGCACGTGCTCTGTGCCAGCCAGTTTAGTCCTCCCCAAACCTCGGAGCCAGCTTCTGTTGCTCTCCCCAGTTTTACAAGGAAGGAGCCAAAGCTCAAAGAAGTTAACTGTCCTCACCTAGAAACCCCTCCAGGAAGTGGCATTGCTGGGTTTGCTCCCAGATCTTTCCCCCGCCCTGGCCCTGCCCATTGCTCTGTTGCCTGCCCTCTGTGGCCTGCCCTTTGCCTCTTCACTAGGTCACATCCCAGACTCCAGGTTGGACCGATGTCTCTCTTTCAATACTGAGATGGAGGTGCTGCCTTCCACTGGTGCTGCTGCCTGGAACATACTCACAGCCCTGCCTGTTGCTGTTTTTCCTTCTCAGTGTCCTGGCTTCCCTGCTGCTGCTTGGATTCCAGCTCGTCTGCCCACATCCATCCACTGAGCACAGAAAGGTAAGCCATGACATTCAGAGGCTTTCCTCCTCTGCAGAGGGCACTGGGCTCACTCTGCTTGCCGCCCTGAGTTTTGTTCGGTTTGGAGGTGAGTCGCTGCTGCTTCTGAGAGGAAGCATCGTTTATGGAATGTTCACCAGTCCCGCGAACCTTCCTAAGTCCTTGGAGCTTGATATGAAGCTGGTGCCCAGAGTCAGTCTCTGCCCAGAGGCAGTGCCGGCTGTGCAGCCTGTGTCCCTTCGAATGGGGCAGTTCAGGAGGGGTCAGCGAGAAGACCACATATCGGGCAGTGGTGGAGCACTGGTTTGGAGCTTGCACCCTCCAGGGGCACCTCCAGGGGCAAGGGGTGTGGATGATTAGAGAGAGGGCCGTGGCTGGGGCTCTGGCTATAGAAGAGGCCCTCTCATGGGGAGCCAGAATCTTTGACAGAGGACACAACCTCTGTCAACCTGTGACCGGGCAGGGAGGAAGCAGGGAAGTAAGGACCTGGCCCTCGCTTTCCTCCTCCCTCTGTCTTCTGCGGGGACTCCCTTTAGCTGAAGCCAACCAAGGACAGAAGACCAAAAGCCAGTGATGCAGTCCTCAAAGGCCAGCCTCCTGGGCTGCAGAGCGAGGTGAAACAGGGTGGACAGAGCAGCTGGAGGGACAAGTGTACAGTTTCAGGCACACCTCCCTTCAGGCTCTGTGTGCTTCCTAGTAAAACTGTTCACTGTTGCCTAAACAAGCCTGCAGGAGAGCAGGTGCATGAGGAATGCTTCCTTAGAAGTGGATGCATGGCATGACTCTGAGAAGGTCCCTAAGGTCCCTTTCTGCTGTCTAGGAGTGTCTCATAGCTACATGGAGCAAAATGCAGACACTTCTGAAAGGAATAGCAGGTCAGCAGTGTGTATCTCAGTGTGACTGTGCCGGCTGGAACCTTTCCTGGAAAAGGTTTTCAAGGGGAAGTCCAGGAGAGGAGGGAGCTGAGGAAACAAGAATGTGTGCACAGGTTTGCCTAGATGTGACCCTTCTTGGGAGGAGTTCTTGATGTTCCTGCCTGATTACTCTAATTTCTTTCGGGTCTGTGGATTATGCCCTGGATTTCTCTTTCTAGGCCAGATATAAACCTGTGTTATATTGTATTGTATGCTTCACTCAGATGTCAGCTCCATGAAAGTGGGATCTGGCCTGTCTTGTTTACTGTCATATTTCCAGCTCTTGGAATATCGCAGGCGCTCAATAAGATACTTGTTGAATGACTGAAGGAGTGTAAAACCTGTCCAAGGTCTAAACATCATGTTGGAAATTCACACTCCTCAGCCCCACCCCATGGGCCTGTGGGCAGAGATTACGTCACAGAGTGAGTGGAATTAGTGCCCTTATTGGAATCCTGAGCAAACTGCTGCTCTGTCCTGAGAGGACACAATGAGAAGCCCGGAAGGCACCACGGTCTCCGACTTCCAGCCTCAAGAACTGTGAGGAATACATTGTGTTGTTTATAAAGCACCCAGTCTATGGCACTTCTTGAAGAACTGGATGATGAGAAAGGCTAGAAGAGTTTTGAGGTTGCAGGTTAAAAAAAGCTTACATGGCCATGAATGTTCTTTTAAAGGCAGTTCTGATGAGAGCTGAGAAAGAACAGAAAAGCATTGTAGAGAAAGCCTCAGTCTTCTTAGAGAAGGCCACAGTGATGCCGAACAGAATATGGGTAGGAATAGGAATGGTAGGTGTCATTCTGATGAGGAATCAGATGGAAATGAGCAACACATTACTGGAAACTGGAGGAAAGGCCATGCGCGTCATGAAGTGGCAAAGAGCTTGGCTGAGCTGTGTTCGTGTTGTAGTGTTGTGTGGAAGGTCGAACTTGCAAGTGGTCAAATTAGAGATTTAGCTGAAGCAATGTCTAACTAAGCAAAGTATTAAAGCAGTGGCCTGGTTTCTCTTGACTGTATGCAGTAAAATGCAAGAAGAAAATGACTTCAAGATGGATTGTTAATTGGAAGGTAAGCAGTACACAGAACTTAATAATTTGGAAAATTCTCAGCTTATCCATATTGAAAAGAATGAGAAAACCTGTTTAGGAAAGATGAGGGTGTTGCCAGGAGACCATTTGATAAGGAGACTAGTCAGCCATCTTGACAGAAGCCAGAAGCTATTGTCCAAGACAATGGAAGAGTCCAAATGAGGGGCTGCTGGTGTCTTCTGGACCTGGCTCCCCTCTGCACCACCCGGCTTGGTCTCCTCTCCCTGCACTCTGGCGCTGAGCAACTCAGCTATCCCAGGCGCTGCTCAGTGGCTAGATGAGGAGCAGGCTGTGCCCAGCAGAGCCAGGGGAGCATGGCTGCCTCCACCTAGATTTCAAAAAACAAGGCCTCCCAGCATAGCCATGGCCCCAGCACCCCAATTCTAGAGAGCCACAGTGGGGTAGGGCTGCCCAAAGATGTGGGGCAGGGCAGCCTGGAGCCCTGGGGCCTCAACCCCTGTCCAGCAAAGCTGGGGGCAGGACCACTGACTGCCCCAGTGGGCCTGGACGGCAGAACATCAAGCCAGGGAAGATTATTCTTGGGCCTTAAGGTCTAATGGAATTCGTTTCATTGGGTTTTAGACTTTCTCAGAACCTGCCTTTCCTTTCTTCTTTCCTCTTTCTCTGAGTGGAGAATGTCAGTCCTGTGCCTGACCACCATTGCAGTTTGGAAGCGCGTAACATGTTTGATCTCACAGTTTGAAGCTGGAGAGCAGTTTGTCTCAGGGTAAATCAGGCCCTGAGTTTTATTCATATCTGACTTACCAGACACCAACTCCGAAGGTCCCTGAATCTCAAACATCCCAGCCTCCAGAACTGTGAAAATAAATTTACATGGTCCATAAGTCATCCAGCATATGCTATTTTTGTCATAGCAGTTGGACTCTCTTCTGTTTTCATTACTAAGTTGTATTATTTATTACTGTTTGGAATTATCAACATTATTGATCTTAATAGTTGAATCAATGTACCAGTGTTCTTTTTTTGCTGTTGTTGCTCAAATAGACGATCATAGCTGAAAGTATTTTATAAATGATCAATTTAGTATGCTATCTCTCTTAATTTTTCAAGTTAGCCTTAATTATATATACATGTATTGCTCTAATCATGCTTAAAGTATTCCTTCTGAGAAATGAAGAAAAATGGTTTATGAGTTACTTTAGAAAGTTGAACTTAAAATTGAGCAAAAAGTATTCTATCTTGGTATATCATACTTATCAAAATATTAATAAGAACTTTGAGATTAAAATATTTTTCCAAAATTATTTATAGATTCTTTTTCTTGGAGAATATACATTTTAGGACAGTTCTCAAACATAATTAATTATATGCATTTTGGCAGCCGGGATCATATCGTCCTTCACCTCAGAGAAAAAAGGATTCAATACTTTCTTGGGTGGGGGGTTTCTTCTTGATGTTCTGTTGGAGCTTTATGAAGCTGTCTTCTTGCTTCGCTATATCCTCAAAATTCTTGCAAAAATTATGCATGTTTATTACATGGAATTTAGAAAACAATGAAAAACTAGAAGAAAGAAAACTTCCTCGTAGGGCAAGAGAAGCAGTAGTAGCACCTATTTCTGCAACATAAGAAATATGGAGACACTTATTAAAACAAGGGTCAGACATTTTTCTCTTTAAAAATCTGGGGATCATTTGTGAATATTGTAGGCTTTCTGGGCTACAAAGTCTCTGTCACAACTACTCAGTTCTGCTTTTGTAGCACAAAGGCAGCCTTAGGTAATACGTAAATGAACGTGCATGAATGTTTTCTAATAAAACTTTATTTGGAAAAATAGATGGTAAACCAGATTTGGCCCGTGGTCCACAGTTTGCCAACCACTGCTCTAAAGTCAGGTTAGAGAGGACTTAACTAAAAGTGTACTTGGAATTTGAAGTTGAAAATTGTCTCCTCCTGGGACTTTAAGGAACACAAAGGATTTGAGAAAAAAAGTATATATTTTGCTAAAACATAAGAATTGTGATTGTTATCAAATTATTTTTATTACTTAGATAAATCGTAATTGAGTTTCTGCTGACCCATTTTGTGGCAAAAATGAAAGCAGCAAAAAGAGTTAGAAAAACATTTATGGTAAATTCTTAAGGGAGAGCATTACTAATTTGCACATGTTGTAGTTTAGTATGTATATGAAAACTAGCCACTAAAGGACATCTTTTTTCCTTCCTCATTACAATACCATGTTCAACTTTAGGATATGGGAGCATTTTTACAGTGTAAATAATTCTGAGGAAAAGATAATTTGTAAATGCTGTCGAGTAAACTTTGAATATCTAAATGTCACTCGGGTGCCTGTATACACGTCTATAAAAACTGCCCCATAATAATGCAGGAAAAGATGACTGTGTTGGAGAGCGTGGGAGTCCTCTTGTTCCTGCAACATGCACAGTATCACCAAGGATTGTGTACCCTCTGCTCTTAGTAGTTACTTAATGGCACTTGGCAAATGATTATATATTTAACACTCATACGGCTTCATTTGCAGATAAGGTAAGACCAAGAGCAGTAAAAAAACCTGAGCAAGACTTTAATACAAACCATAAGTTTTCCATAAGTTATTATGGAAATAACTTATTAATAACTTGTTAATAACTTATTAAGTTATATTATTATTATGTTATATTATTAAATTAATAACTTATTAAGTTATTAACAAGGGAAAATATGTCAAGTGTAGAAAGCTTGTAAGTAATGAGACCGTTATAATGTCTGCCTGACAGACATTCACTGAGTAAGTTGCCTTATAATTCATAATGTGCATGGTCAACATCACACATATGGGAAGGAATCGTGAAACACTGTTTTGTTTTCATCACAACTGCCCAGTGGTTTTTTTAAATTAATTAATTTATTTTTTCAAATACATTTGGCTTCACCTTCCCCCCACCACTTTCCCCTGCCCCTCCCTCAGTCCTTCCCCACTTTGGCTTTGTCCATGAGTCCTTGCTATATGTTCCTTGACTTGACCCTTCCCTTCCTTTT